TAAGATCCCTTCAACCCAAACCAGTCTATGAATGTGACCTCCAGAAATAAACATCCCCACATAATTTTTTTCTGTGATACCTCTTGTGGTTTCACATTCTCTAGGAAGGAATTATCTTCTAAAGATACTTCTTAAAGAGAAGTCATGAATTAACTGAACATTCTTGCTTTTCAGAAGATGCTTTTTGCACAACTTGTATTTTTGTTAAATATTCTTACTTTGCTAAATAGTCTTCTATACTAGCTGTGTGACCATTTGGATATGTAAAATTAGTGTAGGAGCCCTCCTTTGAAGGGAATGACTGAAATCTTTGTCAGGAAAAGAGGAAGAGAAGGAAAAGTTGTAACTCTTTGAGGAAGGAAAGGGAAACTGGTTTCTTCATGATCTTAAAAAGTGTAATCATCCACTCAAAGGTGGAGCTGCTTGTCTGCTAAGTTCCAGAAGCAGAACTTGTGTAAAACATGAATTCCTCTGATTTGAAGGCAAGAGTTGAAACAGGCTAAGATGGTTTAGTTATCTGTGCAGTATACGTGGGGAAAGTAGTAGCACTGTCAGCTAGCAGATCCTGTTAAGGTCCAAACTCGAAGTTGCAGCTGTTGTCAACTGATGCTGAGCCTGACGTAGTTAGTGAGCTGTGCTGGAAGGCAGAACCATGCTCCAAACCACTGTGGCTGCTTGGCTTTCATCTCAGAGCTATCTTGTCTCTCTCTAGTACATGGTAAAAGGAGTAATGTGCTTTTTATTAAAGACTATCAGGGGGAACGCTGTAGCTCCTGTAAGGATCTAGGTATGTGCATTGACACTCCAGGCTGGAATGTACTGTTTCTCCAGACAAGTGGATGAGACGGATAGAAAGGCTGGATGCTACGTGCCGTGTTACTTTAACAAGCACCATGCTCTTTGTTTCCAGTATGCTCAACTTGGCCTTACTTCCCCTTCCCCCTCCATGTGTATTGGTTGATGTTATTTCAGGTCCTTTCAGTAATCAGGAGATGGCAGAGTGGTTCCAGGCTGGATACTTCACTATGTCCCTGTTGGTTAAGAGAGCCTGTGATGAGACTTTCCAGCCACTTGGAGACATCATGAAGATGTGGGGCAGAGTTCCCTTCACTCCAGGTCCAGCACCACTTCCACATCTGGTAATTATGTGACAGTTACAGTATTCCAATAGTCCTGTAAAAAGAAGGAAATGAAATTATTTACATTTACACATCAACTGCTCTGTCTTGGAATTTCGGGTGTTCTGAGCACCTAAGTTGAATTACCTTTCTAAGAGGAGAAAAGACACTCAATTTAAAAATGTTTGGTTTACTATGTCTCTGGCTGGAAGGCTTGGCCCTGTTGTATGTAAGTGCTGTGTATTTCACAGTCACCATATTACAGACTTGGTAAACGTTGATCTCTAGGTATTTTTCCATTTTGTCTTTTCAGTTCAGAATACAACTTTTAGATTGTTTGCATTTGTAATATGCTACTGCTACTACATATATGTTACTAAAATAGCATGTTTTATTCCTAAACGTAGGGCGAGCTGGACCAAGAGCGGCTGACTAGACAACAAGAGTTGGCCCTGATCCAAATGCAGCACCTCCAGTATCAGCATCTTTTAATACAGTAAGACTGCCAGTTCCAGAGATCTTCCAGTGGCTGTGTTCTGCTCTGCATTTTTAATCATCTGGGTTCAGCTTCTTGTCATTGTTTCCTTGGGCAGTGGGGCTGGGAGTGCTTCACCTCCTGCAGCAGCAGCCTGCTTCCACAAGCACCAGAGGCCTCGACAGGATTAGCAGAGAGTGGGGCTACTTCAGGCACACTTTTCAGAGTCTTTTTCAGTGTCATGCATAGTTACTGTGGTGAGACCTGCTATGTAGGTAGCTGTTATGGTCAAACTGAGTCTTGGCTATCCTTGTAATGCAGTTCAGATGTTCTGGAGTCAGGGGAAGGCTACAGTCTTTTGAACTGGAGGTGGAGAATGCAGAACTTGGTTTTGGTCTGCTTGCTCCGTGAAGATCAGTGGAAGGTAACTGCTGGGAAAAGTGGTTTGTCATCCATTTTGCCATAGTGGTCAGTTTCTAATACCTTGTCTTGTAGGAGCTTGGAGAAAAGAAAGGAGTCAGAGTACTCATTCAAGGGGTCCTGAAAGCATGTGCCATGATAATGATTTTTGAATACTGTTTGTCAGCTTATGATTTGATTGTACAAGAATTTGCCTCAGTATTGGGGATGCCTTGACATACTGGGGAAGAGGTTGATATATGTAGGTGGGCAGACCTAACCAGATTAACTTGAGCAATCTGTATGTGATATAAAAAAAGGGAAGTAGTGTTGCACAGAGAAACATTGGACAGCAGTAATCAGCTGACATAGTTAAGGGTGAAGAGAAATTTGATTGTGCTTACATAGGCCAATTTGTTTAATTCTTGTATTTGGGTTCTTTTCAAGGCCCTGTTCTGTGGTTTCCTTTAGTATTTAGCATGTACATTATATAGGTCAGTGGGCATTAGTCACCGAGAACGAATCTATGTGCAGCTTCTGCAACTTTGGGCATTATATAAATAAGGAAGGGAACAAATACCAGTGATTCTCTGCTTCTTTTTTGAAGACAACAATATGCACAGGTGCTAGCTCAGCAGCAAAAGGCAGCCCTCTCATCCCAGCAGCAGCAGCAGCTTGCTATTCTCTTGCAACAGTTCCAGGCCTTGAAGATGAGGTGAGTTAGCCCAGACTTGAACCAAATTCCATTCTCTCCTATATGCTAGCTTGTAATTAAAATCTTTTCAGTGTCTGTTCAAGTTTGCTTGTATTTGAGCATTACATATTTTAAAGACTGTGTGACTATGAAACAGTTGCAGGATGTCAAATACTTCTTTAGATAAGCAGCCTTTATCTCAGAGAATGTTTATGAAAAATCTTTATAGTTGAAATCAGACCTTTTTGACAGATCTGTTATGTTGGTAACAGAATGGCTTTGCCAGCTGAGTTCTGCAATACTAGATGCTTCTTCCTCAAACTAGCCTGTAAGCAACAAATGCAAAAGTGTAGCAGTATCTGGCTCAGCCATTGACTTGGCAGCAGGGATGAGATAAGCAAGAACTCTCCAAGCAACTAGTGTTGTCCACATCGTATTTTTGTTTTAAATAGAGGTGTGGAAGGAAAGGAGTATGTTACAAGTTACTGAATCTCATGCGTGTTCAGAGCACTCCTGTCGCTGGAAGTGGCATGTTGATTCTTCCTGTTGGTATTACAGAATATCAGAACAGAACATGATGCCCCCTGTTACAAGGTCTGTGTCAGTGCCGGACACTGGCTCAATATGGGAACTTCAGTCACCTTCACAACCTACAGGTAAGATGCTTAGCATGTGTCAGACCTATAGAGAAAAGTTCATGGATTAAGAACCAGCATCTTTGAGATGATTTTTTTTTGACACGAGACGAAATTATTTCTGCATCTGTATTCTTTAATCTGTATTCTGTGAAGAATATGGTAATTTTTCTGATGGTTATGAGAAGTTTTGATGCAGAGGGAGTGTGTGTTGTATTATAAAGGGGTTCTGCTCTGATGAGAGGACTTTGAATAGCTGGTTCTTGTGTAGAATTTTGTAGGAAACGCAGCCTTGCTTCAGTAACGGACAAGCCTTGTTCTATGGGAAGATAAGGTGGCCCTCTACTGACTAAGACTAATGCGTTACCGTGATTTTAATTCATAAAATGTAACAACAGCATACACAAGATTTTCCCCTTTCAGATGTCTTTTTGTTGATGTGCTTATTTTTGCTTGTCAATGTTTGTTTTCTTCACAATCTAGTTTGGGAAGGAAGCAGTGTCTGGGATCTCCCCATTGATACTGCAGCTCAGGGACCAGCTCTAGAACAACTTCAGCAGCTCGAGAAGGCCAAAGCTGCAAAGGTCAGAAACTGTTTCATACTGTAAGAAGTTGGGATTGCTGTTCTGCAGTGAACTGTGTTTCCTAAGCCAATGGAAGACTATTAGCTCCTCAATATTCAGGCCACTGTATGATTTTGATTGGATTTTCATGGAGAACACTGTAAAGGGAATAGGGGATATAGAAACCAGTTATGAAATCCTCATGGACTGCTGTTTGGAAACTATTGCTGTGGAGGTACTACTGACCTCTAAAGTAGTGCTTATGTGTTTTACACGTTTGACTAAAACCTCTTTACTAGCCACCTTTGTTTCAAAATGGAATCATCATGAGCTGTCACGCCAAACCCTTAGCAGGAGCAGGTAGTTGTTCTCTTGATATTGTCACCAGAGTTGGTTTGGGGAATCTCAGTTTGTCAGGGTTGTTTCACACTTACTTTAGTATTAAATTATTTTTGTAAGTTTGAACCTGTATGATTCTGTATATTTCCTGAAATTGATTATTTTATGGTGACTGCAAAGCAACTTGCTACTAGCTTCTAAAGTCAGAGGTTATTTTAAGGAGCTGATGCAGAAAGACTGACTAGAGAACTGGTGTTTGTTACTGAACAGAAATTGTTCTGGACTGTTTCAGGAATCTGACCCCAGTAGGCAGCCAGCTGATAGGTAAAATTACAGTTAAGGGAGAGCATCTGTCAGAGGCTTCATTTGTTATGGTGTTACTATAATCTCAGCAGAGTTGCCCTAAGAAATGGTGTAGGAATACGTTACCTGCATCTGAGTGTAGTTTTATGTGAATTGTAGCTAGAGCAAGAGAGGAGAGAAGTGGAAATGAGGGCCAAACGAGAGGAAGAGGAGAGGAAAAGGCAGGAGGAGCTTCGGAGGCAACAAGAAGAGCTACTTAGGAGGCAGCAGGAAGATGAGAGGAAACGACGGGAAGAAGAAGAACTGGCCCGCAGGAAGCAAGTGAGTTTTCTTGATGTAGTTAATCTCTAATTAATTTTAATAATTTAAAAAACTCACTTTAAGAATCCTGTGGGGTCTAATTAATCTTTGGTAGGTGTGTATGAAGAGAGTTCTAATATTTTTCATGTGAGTATATGAAATGATTCCTCTATTCTTGATTTTAAGAGTCCAAATTGCAGTCTGAGAAATGGGCTTTGATGCTTCATTTTAAGATAGGTTCCTGTTTGTGAGCCGAGAGGCTTTATTCCTTGAGGAATATTCCCTCCCAACTTCTTAGTGTCAATATTAGACTTCAGTTAGTTGCCCAGTTATTGTATGTTTAATCTTTATTCATGATTTATGCAGTCTATAATGTTATCAATAGATAACAACGTTATCTATTGATAACAGTATGTTGTGGAGTAGACTGGAGCTTGAGCAGCTGTTTCAGATGAATGTAAAGGGCTATAGTGGAAAAAGTGATACAGCATTTAGCTTTTTTCCCCTGTTTTTTTGTTAACTTAATAAAGAATTTTTTAAAAGTAAATTATCTGGCTTATGTCACAGAGTCTGTCAGCTTGGCTTTTTTGAGTGGGTATTTGGAAAAGGAAGGGTGTAGTTTGGACAAGCAGTTCGATTAGAATGAATTACATGATCTGTGTTGCAGGATGAATGAACGTAGGAGTTGTATGTTCTTAATCTTATAAGGATATGAAATTGGGGCATTATTAGCTTGAAGTTTCTAGCATTTACTTCTGAATTCTGTGTGGAAGAAAGATTAACTGTTTCTTGAGTGTTGCAGGAGGGAAAGACAGAGAAAGTCTTCACTCTGCATGTGAAGGATATTGGCATGCACATTGTTGAGTTTATTCACTAAGGAGTTAGTCAATAAATGCCCTCTAAAGTAACATATGAATAATAGGTGAAAGTAATAAATAATTTTGTCCTTTATCATATTTTCTATGTCCTTAGGTAGGGAGGCAGTTGTAAAATGGTTTTCCTGGTTTAAGGATCAGATGCTTCTGAGGAAGCCCCTAGAATCTTTCGTTTTATTTTCAAGTTAGTCATAGACCTCAATTCATTCACTGTTTCTGTTTTGTCACTGAAAATTTATTTTTAATAACTGCAGTATATGTGGTTAGCTTTCATGGTATCTTTAAGAATCAAGTTGGTAAATAAATGGCTTCTTGCTTTAATATATCTACTTCTGTGTTCAGCCAGTTGTTATGGTATACAGTGGAAAAGCATCCTTTGATGCTTGAGTTCAAGCTTTACTGTAGCATTAAAGCAATAATATACTCAAAAGTTGAAATTTTGAGTTCAATTGCTTGAGATCTGTTCTAATAACACTTAATTTTTTCAGCTGATCACCTGGTAATTCAATGTGTCATCCATGGTGGCTTCAAATAAATAGAGTTGGGTTGTTTCTTTTCAGATTAACCGTTTTGCTACTGTGTATAACTTCTTAGAAATGTCCATTAAATTCCAAAGGTGTTTTTGTCCACTTTGGATTTGTATGGTAAACAGTCTGACTCTCTAAGATGTCATGGGGAATAATTATTTACAAGGAGGAAGCAGAATGGGGTTGAAAAGCAGTAACAGCAAGTACCTTAGTTCATTACCAATGGAATAATTGCCACAATGCTTAATTCTGAGCAGTAAAGTCTTGAAAAGGTAACAAAGGGTTTAAGCACTTCTCTGGAAAGAGAAAATAATATTGTATTATGTATTTAAAAAAAAAAGAAACTGGTCTAATATTTGAATCTGACTTCTGAAGGCATTGTAGAATCAGGGATGAACTGATTTATTAGCATGGATTTATACAGAGGAGATGATGCTTAACAAATTTGATTAACTTCTTTTGAGGAGATGACAGTGAGAGCTGAGAGGGGTGAAGCAGTAGACTTAATCTGCCTGGACTTCAGGAAGGCTTTTGATGTAATACTGCATAAAAGACTAGTATATAAGGTTAGTAAATATGCTGTTGATGGTGAATTCTAAGTAAATTAAAAAAAAAACAAACCACAAACCTAATAGACATTCAATTCTGTAGGATGAAATGTCATACCAAATGTTGAATCCAGTTCTGTTCATAGTTTTCCTCAGTTACTTGCACTGTGAAATTGCAAACAATAATGCTCAGCTTGTGTAGCTCCTGTATTTCTTTTTTGTTTCTGGTCTGATATATTCTATTTTGTAATGATTGATTGCTTTCAGGAACAAAATTCAAGGTTCAATAATTAGCTAATAATTGTTTTCTCTGAATTACATCTACAGTGCTCCCTTTAAAGCATCTAGATCAAAGATGAGATCCATAAAATGAAAAAAATAAGCCCTAGTGACATAAACAAGTAGAATTGCAGGTGCTACCAATTACAAAAAAATCCATAATATTTTATTGAAGAATCCAGAGTCTGTTGAAATGGGGATTGCTACTTACGGATTTTAAAAGACCTGAAATGAGTTGTCTGTACAGCTATATATGTTTACTTGAAAACAATTATTAGAAAAGATGCTAAAGAATACTGGGATCCCTTTAGTGCAGGAAGCCATGACTATGGGAGCAGTAAGAGCCAGAGGAATGAGTCTGTTTCCCATACTAGTTAGTGGCAGAAGGCTGGATAGCTTTGAATGCTTTTGGTCACATGTTCAAACAAAATCATTGAATAATAAGAAGATGCAGAAGTAAACATTAAGTCAACCTTCTCTGTAGCTGTGAAGAGTAGGAAAAAGAATTGCATCAGCTTGCATGTTCCCAGCTTTTCATAACCTTGTAATTTTTTCTCCCTGATGCTGGTACAACACTGTTCATCTTTAGTTCTTTAGGGGAGTGAAGACTTCTTAAGCTGCTGTCATTCAACAGTGCCTTTCCTACAGCTTTATTCATGTAGATCCCTACAGCTTTATTCATGTCAATTCTAGCCTCATTTCCCAAAGGGAGAGTAGGGCAGAGATGCCAATGAACTGCTGTCCTATAGGAGGACTTGGTGACTTTGTTCATCTCTCTCAGGTACATGTTATGTCGATGACTAGTGCTGAACATCCCCCCAGCCTGGACAGCAGCCTGGCATCCTGAGCTGAGATCCTGGTGTGTGGTCTGTAGTCAAAGAAAACATACTGGCACACTTCCAGCCTCCTCAGCAGACTTTTCAGTGCAAGAAACAATAGCAGAAATTTTTCGGCACTTGTATCGGGGACACAATTGCTGTGACTTGACTGCATGTGTCCAATTAACACAGTTACTGGCCCAATTTACAGAAATAGTTGAGGTGATGTGTGTTGTGCTTGAAGCTTTTGTGAATATGACAAATCCAGACTTGATTAATGAGAAAATGATTCACACGCTGCTAGTTTACGTCCAGCTGCTGGAAGAAAAACTTACTGCACTTACATTTAGCACTAAACCACTTAAGTGATACACAGATATATGAATTACTTGGTTTGTAGCCAGTGCCATAGGATTGCTAATAAAAAATCCTCTGTCTACTGACAGTTGTATACATCTGAAATTAGCCATGTCAGAGACACCTGGTCCAGATGTTCAGTGAGCTGTATTGCAGCTTATGCTGTGTATAGAAGGTTTGTTACCAGATTTAGTGGAAACGTCTGAGAGTTCAGAATTTCCTTGATGTAACAGAGTTCAAAATTTATGTCCATGCTGCACAATTAGTCTCCCTTCACCCTGTAAATAATACATTGCTTATAAAAAACTTGAGAGTACAGTTGCACAGTACTGATCAATCAAAAGGAAAATGTATTTATGAAAGCTTAGTTCTTGTTCAAAAAGTAGGATTTTTAGGTTGAGCTGGTAGGACAAGTCAGAAAGTGGAGAGAAAAATAAAGGGATGAAAAGCAGGGTGGCCTTAACACAGTTGCAGAGATTAGCAAAGTCAGCAAAAAAGAAGGCTGTTTTGTGCAAAGGAAAGTCAGAACTGGGGAACACACAGATGCACTCCTGTGTAACAACATACAGGAAGCCAGCCAAAGACTGGTTGTGCCCTGTGCCTCCAAAAGCAAGTAGCAGAATTGGAAAAAATTCTGTTTACCTTGATCTTCAGAGTAGTAGGAATGGGGCTGATGTTTTATTTTTGAGGTTCCTAAATAATTTTGCTACTTGGAAAGCAAACGGTAATTTATCAGAAGTTATTTAAATAATTAAGGGAGAGCCAAAAATCAAAGCGCTCAAGAGCCCATAGTATTTAAAGAGTATAGGAATAGTGCAGTCAAAGCCCTTTTGTTAAGTTCTACGTCTCTGAGACTTCCAAAGGTTACAGTGTCCTCAAGTGCACTGGGCTTCTTCAGTTTATTTCTGGTGTCTGGAGATGTGGTTTTAGTTTTGTAGGGCACTTGACTAGTCAGTGTTTGGAAACTCCTGTAAGTAGGAAAAGCTTCCAACTTATAGCTGACACCCCCAAAAAATTAATTAATGCTACTCACGTATTGAAATACATGTATATGTTTAGGTACAGTTAGTAAATACTGGAAAGAGGAGTTGCACCCTTTGTTTTCATTCTCAACACCATTCTTTTTAAAACTAAAGATAGACAGTGATTTCACGTGTTCCCTTTTTCATTAAAATAATTATTTATGAGATGCACATTGTATCAAAAAAACCCTCTTAACATGTTTTAACATGGTCTGTAGTGTTTAATAGAGCTGGTTTTAGTAGTGTGTAGCTTGGAGCTAAGGAGCTATTCTTGAGGCCATTTATCTGGCCAGACCATGTTGTTGTCTGTGTTCTGATGCAGTTCATCAATAAAATGGCATTTATAGATTGACGTTTTTGTTTCCAACTCCAGGAGGAAGCCCTGAGGCGACAACGGGAGCAGGAAATTGCACTAAGGCGGCAGCGGGAAGAAGAGGAGAGGCAACAACAGGAGGAAGCACTTAGAAGACTGGAAGAGAGAAGAAGAGAAGAGGAAGAAAGACGGCAGCGAGAGGAGTTAATTCGTAAACAGGTGAAAAATGGGACAAGGGACCTATTATATTTAGTTACGGAGGCTGCCAGGATGAAAAAGCTTTGAAACTTGCATGTGTGGCTCAGACACCATCAGTTTTGGTGGAGGAAAGGAAAGCTTGTAGACAGTATCGAGTGAAAGGTTTACTTGTATCCTGACTTCAGAGTAGATAATCAGAGTCCGATCTGCTCTTTGTAAAAGAGATTAGCGTTGAATGAGTGTCTTCATGTTTGAGCCTTAAGAATGGCTTTGCAGCATGGTATTTGTACTTCTTCTCTTCAAAAGAAAGGCAGAGTACAGTACCATAATTCTATAGTAAAGGCTCAAAACAAATTATTCTCTTCAGCATCATCTGAGGTGATGAGTTTTGCCAGTCTTTCTGTACTATGCCGAGACTATACCCACTATCAAAGTTTCAGCTTTTTTCTTCCCTTGACTTGTCTTACTGTTAACAATTGTTATGTTTTCCTTTGGGGTCCACATTAGAAGTTCCTAATGGGCAGCTTGAGCTTCCAGCCCCCTAATTCATACTGTCACCGATCCTGAATCCAGCTAACCTTGAAACATGACTGGCTTCACATTAACTGCTGGGTTTACTTCAGAATTGCCAGGTTTTTTTCAGGGCTTTCCTTTGTGAGACATTCATCATCATTTTTGTCCCACCACACAGTCATCTCCTTTTGTTAGCAGAAATATCTTTTTCTTTGCAAATCTAATGTTGAATTAACAATTGTAAATAGCACTGTCTGTTTTCTTTTCATGCCAAAACCTCTTCTCCCTTTATTCCTGTCAAGTTTTATTCAAGTGTAGCAGTATTTAATTGTAAGTAGTATAAGCAGACAGAAGGTCAGACTGAAAGGTGTGTAACTCCCAAAAGGAAAGTGGTATGAAATTAGCTAGCCTGACCTAGGGAGATGTTACTCTCTTCTGAGTTCCTTGGTGGAGCAATGGGAAACTTGCATCTTTATGGGACATAAACTGTATTGTTGGGCTTCATTGCATGGGAACTGTAAAGGTAAAGGAACAATTTAAACAGCACAGATTACACATACAAAAGCCTCTCTTTGTTCTGTCAGAATGTCAGTACCACAGAGTAGGAATAATTTAGATCTTCTAAGTCTACTTAGACTTTACTCCTCTTTATGTCCTGGGAAGGAAGAGGAGGCTGCCAAGTGGGCACGTGAAGAGGAGGAAGCTCAGCGGCGGCTTGAAGAAAGTCGGCTACGCATGGAAGAGGAGGCAGCCAGACAGCGGCTTGAAGAAGAAGAGCGAAAGCGCAAGGAGCTGGAACTCCAGCGCCAGAAAGAAATAATGAGACAGAGGCAGCAGCAGCAGGAGGCTTTACGACGGCTGCAACAGCAGCAGCAACAGCAGCAACTTGCACAAATGAAGGTAACGTGTTTCTTGTGTTTAACTTTCTCCTTCAGTTCGGTGCAGTAAGCGAAACCACAGCTGGATTCAGGGGTGTCTGGACTCACTTGAGCAGAGCAAGGAGGGATGAACTGTCTGGAGAGGGAAGAGGGTAAATAGTTGACTGTGAAAGTGATGGGAGCAACAAGAGGAAGATAATTTACAGAATAAAAAGGAAAAAGGCTCAGTCAATAGAGGTGTACTGGAAAGGCATTCGCAGATGAGTACAGATGTTTTGTGTGCTGCAGTGAGTAAGGGCCAGTGCAAAGGTCCTAAAGCTTAGAATATCTTTAAAATAAAAATTGATCTGCTGTTTTTTTTAGGCAGTGATGTGTTACATTAATCTTGATACACTCTTTGACACTATGATAAAAGGGCAATTCAAAGAAATACATGTTTGTACTTTTTTGTAATTACACCATTTTTTACTTTGCAGTTTTTTGTTAAGCTTTAAGGGTGGCCTTATTTTTTCGCCTGTGCAGTGGGCTTTTACTGTTGTTTTTCATTATTATACTTTAGCAGTATTCTAAAACATTTTGTAATTCCTAATGGTGTGGTTTTTTGGCCCAGCTCCCTTCATCTTCGACATGGGGTCAGCAATCAAATTCAGGAGCTTGTCAATCCCAGACAACACTGTCATTGGCAGAAATCCAGAAGTTAGAAGAAGAACGAGAACGGCAGCTTCGAGAAGAGGTAAATACTAACAGTGACAGAGTGTAACTTGTTAGAGTGGACTCAACTATGTGACTGCTTAACTGGCGATTTGAATGGTGAGGATGAGGAATGTTTTCTTAAAACACTATAACTCGGGTAAAATTATTTTACATCTATACTTTGATATATTTGCAGTATGCACAAGACCAGGGCAGTTGGCGGGGGACAGATGGAAGCACAGGGTGGGAACAATGGATGGTAGGAGAGTTGTTTTTCCTCCAAGTTGCCAAATACTTGGTTAGCTGCAGTCATGATTTGACATATTTATTCTGTCCTGGGCTAATAAACAGTTTGCATTTACTGGTTACTTGGTGTCTCCCCTTTTAGATGAACTGTAATGGCTTTAAAAATAGCAGGTCAGGCAAAAGAGAGTGAAATCAGTTTAAAACTAGTTTCCCAGCTAGAATTTTGAACAGTAACGATCTTCTGAAAGTATAGACAAGCACTTTTGTCTTGCATGCAACAGCAAAGGCGTCAGCAGCGTGAACTAATGAAGGCCCTCCAGCAACAGCAGCAGCAACAGCAGCAGAAATTGTCAGGCTGGGGTAATGTCACCAAACCAACAGGCACCACCAAGTCCCTGCTGGAGATACAGCAGGAAGAGGCACGGCAGATGCAGAAACAGCAGCAACAGCAGCACCAGCAGCCGAACAGAGTCAGAAATACTACGGTACGTATGGGTTTTGTCTGATTAGTATGTGGAGGGAAACAGTACATGCCAGTTCTCCATGTCTGGTTCCAATAACCAGGATCTCTTTATTATGTTTCAACAGCACTCTAACCTGCACACCAGCATTGGGAATTCAGTGTGGGGCTCCCTAAACACTAATCCCAGCAACCAGTGGGCATCTGACCTAGTCAGTAGCATCTGGAGTAATGCTGATACCAAAAACTCAAACATGGGTTTCTGGGATGATGCAGTGAAGGAAGTGGGACCTCGTAACTCGACCAATAAAAACAAAAGCAATGCCAGCCTCAGGTAGGAATTGGGGAAGCAGCTTTTGCAAAGAAAGGCTACCACTCCTGAGATGATCACTTAGCAGTTATAACATCTTCATGTATTTTCCTTTTTTCTGTGTCACTCAGGATCTGTTTTGACAACAAAAATAGCTAATAGGTGACCCTTCACAATTTACTTTGTCATCTACTTAAATTAGTTGGTTCTTAAGCAGTTTGCATCTTGTAAACTAGTGAGTCTCGTAACACTATACTGTATACTATACTGTTGATAAGACTGGCAATTTATAATTTATTATATGTGTTTTCTTTACCTCAGTAAATCTGTTGGTATTACAAGTAGACAAAATAAGAAGGTGGAAGAAGAGGAGAAGCTGTTGAAATTGTTCCAGGGGGTTAATAAAGCCCAAGATGGATTCACTCAGTGGTGTGAACAGATGCTTCATGCACTCAACACAGCCAACAACTTAGATGGTAAGAGGTGGGGAAGGACATAAATGATTCACTGTGAGAAACAATATCCTGTTTCTTGAGCAGATCATCCTGAGGGCAAGTAATGGCATCAAAGTGATGTTTTTAATGCGGTCAGCAAAATGGCATCTTTAAATAGTGGTCTGTGAAGAGCTGGCTGCAGCATCTTCTCCATTGTTTTTGTTGGGCTAACTATATGAAATTAGTGGGGATTGGGAACAGTTGTAAAGTCTGCCACCTGCAGGACCTTTGGTGGTCGTGGAAGCATTATCAGGCAGATGGATGAGGATCCAGTTCACTTGTAAGTGTAGGCCAAGTTACATGCCCCTGTGCAAAGCGTTTTTTGGTGTGAAACTGGTTGGGTTTTCTACTAACTCTGCTGGAGCGCATGTAGAAGGAACACCTAGTCTGAAGTCACAAACTCATACCTTCTTGTACCAAAGCACTGCAGGCATCCTTCTGCCTCCTATGTGGACCTGTGCAAATCCTCGTGCTCCAGCACCTGCATGCTGCGAAGCTGTGGTTCTGTGACACCCTTGAACCTGAGTGGGGAACCAGTGCTGCCCCAAGAGCCAGGATGATCACACCTCACACAGCTTCCCTCCTCTTAGGGGAGTGATACTAGAAGTAACTTGTTGACCTCATCTGTAATGTACTAATTAGCTGCATCTGGTGTCTGAGGAGAGGCTTTGGCCCCACAGTGCCTTAGTGGGTCATACATCCACAGTGTTTCCATGCTTCGAAGGCTACTTCGTGCCACAGGTTGTCCTCGTATCTTCCTGGCTGGTGATTTTGCTTTGCCCTTCTCCATGTTGAAATAAAACTGACTGCAAGGAAGTTAGTCTAAGAAAAGAAAAGATGGTAAAGAAAGCTTGCAAGTGAGCTAGCTGTGGAACTTCAGGTGCTTGCAGGTCAGGTCAGCCACTGGGGAGTGTGATCTTTTGTGCTTCAGACAAAAAGAGACTGTACTGATGATGGCTCTGAGAAGAGTGTTTTCCATTTGGGCCTTGCATTAAATTTGAGCTTTATAGCTGGTGGACTAACATACCCTTGGGATTTTTCAGTTGATTTTTTTTTTTGTTTTCATCACATTAGCTGGCTTTCTTACTCTTGCTTTGCCTGCACAGTAGATGAAGCATTGCATGACAGGGTTTTACTGTAGGGAATGTGGAAGGGCAAGGGGTTTGTCATGGCAAATAGCAAATACTTGGAACAGAATCCAAAGTTTGTGTTTATTGCACACATGTGTTCACATATCAGTACATGTGTCCTCATGGTCTGCCTTCTTCTTGCAGTTCCCACGTTTGTTTCTTTCCTGAAGGAAGTGGAGTCTCCCTATGAGGTCCATGATTACATCAGAGCCTATCTTGGAGATACTCCTGAGGCCAAGGAGTTTGCCAAGCAGTTTCTTGAGCGCCGTGCCAAACAGAAAGCCAGTCAGCAGCGGCAACAGCAGCAGCAACAGGTAAATCTTACTCTCTACGGTCCTCAGGAGTACAGAGAGATTATATTTGAGTCTGAAGAGTCTACCTTTCTGCTGGGTTGATAGGAGTATGAGCAGGGTTTTACAGCAGAGAATAAAGCTGATTTCAAATATTTACTGTAGAATCAGGTTTCCTTTATAACTAACAGTTGAGGCCAATTGTAGGTCAAATAATATCTTAGCATCCTGATCTAGGATGTGCTTTAGAAAGATGAGGTAGATATACTGGATGGATGCATCAGTGGCTAGTGCTGCCACATGTGATGTAGGAAGTGCTTTGGGCTCTCTGAATATTTTCAATATAAATAAGCCAAACTTAATTACGCTTAATAAATTTGAACTTGCTTTGTTTTCTAGGATTCAGTGTGGGGAATGAACCACAGTTCGCTACATTCGGTCTTTCAGACCAATCAGAGCAACAACCAGCAATCCAATTTTGAGGCTGTGCAGAGTGGCAAGAAAAAGAAGAAACAGAAGATGGTTCGTGCAGATCCCAGCTTGCTAGGTCAGTTTTAACTTTTACAAATTACTGTTTGGTTTGGGAGAAGCCTTGTGGAGTGTGGAATGCTTGTCAGCCTTAAATGGGAATATCAGATTGAGTAGAACAGGCAGTTGTTGGAGCAGCTTTAGAATTTGTTTCAATATTATTATGTAATGATTTAAGAAATACTGTATCAAAAACATTTGTCAAACTTTCCCTCATGAAAAGGCCTCTTCAGTACCTTGGTTATTACCTGGGAACATTTAACACCCAGTTAAAGGACGCCAGTTAAACTGCCTTTTCTCTTTTGAGTTGACCTTAGCCTATTTTATCGAATTAATGCTAATTTATTCTTTTAAGAAAAGTATGTTTTCTGTTTCCTCCTGAGGAGCAGCTTCTTGGGGCTTGCCTTTATTTCTTCCTACCTTTCTACATGAGCTAACCACCCTAGTCACAAAAGATGGCAGAGATCTTACGAAAAGAAGTTGAATAGTAGTCACACGTTCTCATATGGAGGCAGTGGAGATGATTGCATCATTAGTAGTCTGGGTTTTTAATATTTATGTTCTGTATCTTAGTTTTTATGTGAGGGTGGTAGTTAACCAGCCCCTCTAGCACTGATGGAAAGGTTTCTTTAAAGATACAAGGGGATCATGTATACAAGTAGTGAGCATTATTGTGGGGTGTAATGCGTCACTGTAGTATTTTAGTAGAATAAATGAGTCTGCACTTGTGCTGTGTGTGACACAAAGGAAATGAGGGTACTGCACTGGGCCAGTATTTGTTGTGCTACTTAGCTTGTATTTGTGTAAAGGAGACTGGTATTAACCACCTGGCAGTCACTGCTATTTTTTAAGGCTCTAACAGAGCCCTGCCTTTGTTTTTATCTTCTCTTTTTGTTCTCAACAAAATGAGTGGTTTCTGTATTGAAGTATATGGAACTTTTCAGTGGAATCCTGACTTAAGCCACTCCTATGTGCCAATACAGTGAGTCTGATCTGGGTCTTCAGTTGAGTAGTTTAAAACCCTGCTCGTGTCATGTGAAGAAGAAATCACTAAGTACAACTAAGAAGTTGCAACTGTAAGAGACGTGCCGCATACAGCTTCTCAGAAATAGTACACTCCATTATAAAGAATTCCAAAGCCTTTCAGGTAGCATGCTGCCACGAGAGGGAGCCAGAACAATTTTCTAAAACCTACTGAACAGAGCGCTTGTTATCTGTTGAAGATAATGACTGTGAAAAGGGGTTTGTTTTCTAGCCCAGAGTAAGCCTACAGAGCAGTGAAATGTCAGGTTTGTGTTAAGTAGTCTTAGCCAGGAAAACCTTCCTTTTTCTCATACTCTGTATGGGATTGGTGCAACCATAAAAATTGGATTTTACTAGGAAAGTTGCACATGATATATGGGATTCTGTCCTTGTAGAAAATGTTTTTGCCTTTCTTTTTTTTTTTCCCCACTTTCCTCATGTGCATTATGTCCTCAGCACTTACAGTTAAAGGGTTGGGTGCAAGTTTAGGTGCGTCTTGAGCCACCTGCACAGCCCTTTGTAACTTTGTACATTTTCATCTTGTATTCCTGAGACAGACGATTGTAAAGAAGCATAGAAATACATGGAATTGCCACTAGATTTCATAGGTACATGTATTTAGACTTTAAAGTAAGGGATGGAATTGCTCATGCTCTCTGAAGTGTTGATTTGGATTCTGAGTTCACAAAATGTCTATTTCTGCCTCTTGGATCGTGTAAGTACAGTGTTGACAGGCAATTCCAAGTACCAGTTGACTCAGACATGCTCCCTTCCCAGACGTTGCTCAGCCATGTCACCACTGTGCCTCGTTAAAGATGGCATCTTTTAAATGGAAGTTGAAACCAGTCTTCTTGATGATATGTTTCTAAAGACCAAGTGATACTTGCCTAAATACACAATTGATTATTAAGGATAAATCAGCTTGTCTGATTATACCTCTAGCCTTACTGAATTTCCACCTGAGCTTTTGTTTGATCAGCCACTTTATCTTGCACATGCCACTGCATGTAACAGATGTATTGCATCAAATACACTGTACTCCATCCAGGTTTTTAACACAAGTACTTTTTGGTTTACAGGGTTTTCAGTGAATGCCTCATCAGAGCGGCTCAATATGGGAGAAATAGAGACTTTGGAAGACTACTGAGCATGTGCAAATCAACTGGCTTTTCCTGCATCTGTTAACCATGGATTCTCCATTTTGGACACAGTACTCTCCACCATGCGTTCTTCTTCGCCTTGCAGTGAATCACAGAATTGATCATCTCAGGCTGCTTCTTCTAGCCCCAGCAAACCCTTTCTGCCCAGGACTGCACAGGCATTGTTCCTACTGTCAGCCTAGAGTCAAGTGAACTTTATTCAGAGTCCTGGGAGGGTGGGAGATAGGATTCATTCACAACAAGGCTGATTTGGGCAGCAAGCTTTCACTGTGCTGTGATGTCTTCTGCTGACATACCTGGAAAAAAAAATCAATTGGGATTCTGCAAACCATTGCTTCCCTCTCCTGGTTACTCTTACCACATCCAACATGTGCAGTCTTGGAGAGAGAGAGAGAGAGTTTGTGGTTAACAGATGTTGGTCAAAACCAAATGCCACACAGATACTGACTTCCGCGCTCCATCAGGGCAAGAGGTGCTCTCCCAAGCCAGGAGTTGCATTCATAAGCTAACCTTAGAACTGGCAACAGCAGGAGAGGGGCGGTGGCGGGCGCAGTTTAGCTTGGGTTGGTTTGAAGTTGCACACCCCCTGCCAGCCCTTCTCAGCACATTATTTTTGGAGGGAAATCTCGAGTCTGTCTTCATTAGGTGGTGATGCTGAAGCTGGTGGAGTTCCCTGTCTGCATACTCCAGCCTTCCTGGACAAGCGGGGACTTCTGCTCTGGGGGAAAAAAGCGGGGTGGCATCTCTTCTTTCAGGTTGAATTTATCCCTTAAATGCTACCTTCAGAGGGTTAGGACCAGTTTATTTTGAGCTTTTTTCCTGCAAATTTGTCTCGTTTAAGAGGCAGTAGGATCTTTACTGTGTGGATCTTTAGTCTTTGGTGAGGGTGAACACTGGCTTTTGGATACGTACCCCAGCAGTCTTAGCTAGTTGTTATTTCAAGCCGTGCTTAGGTTAACGAGCAGAGGTGCCCTTTTGTCATGAAGAGAGACTGTGGAGAGCGAAGCTATGTGCAATGACGGCCCTGCTTATCTCCTACACCTTAAACTATTTCATGCACCTTCACTGGGATCCATAATCTTTAAGTATTTATGGAATCATAACCTTCGTCTCTCACGGAAAGATTAACACCACCTTCCCTTCTCCACCTGCTCACATGCACACACCACGAAAGAAGGAAATGAAAACTGCCAAACGCACTTAGTTTCACGCCCCTGGTCCCATCTCCCATGCCCAGAGGGTTATAACCTGTGAAGGGAGAGACGCTACAGTTCTGGTGGAGTTGTATAAAGGTGTCTGTTGTTCTGTCATCACTGCCTAAAGAAAACAGTTCGAGTTGCTCAAGAGGAGTTTGGCTTTGGATTTTATTTCGTTTGGTTTATTCGTTTTTTTGGGGTCACCTTCCCCTCCTCCTCCTCCTCTCCTCCTCTTCCTCTCTCTTCCCCCTGCCCCCAAACATGTACAGTAACTATACAGAGACTGCTGCAGACTTGTATATAGTTTTTGGATCCAATAGCATGGAGAGACTTGGAACTGTTGCAGATCTGGTCTCCCTGTCTCCTTTGCTTTGTAAATTCATAAAAGGGGGAAGAGGGGTAGTTAAAATGTTTACAAAACTTTAAACTCCCTCTGAACTTTTGCCAGTGTGGGGCGGGGGGGGAAGAGAGAACTTAAATAAAACCTGGTTGTATTATATCTGAGAGAAAACTTTCTGCTTGCTTTTGTCGAAGCTGAGTTTTGAGATGATTCCTGGTGCTAAACTGACCCAAAACTCAACTTGCGTTAGTTTTCATCAAGAAGCAACAAGCAAACACACAGGATGTGGAACAACAACTGCTGCTTTATTTCTTCCCTGGTGAGGAATACCGGTGGGTTTTTTCTACTTGATAATTTTAGAGTTCAAATAAACACCAGTAAGTCAAGATTGGAAAATTCTGACAAGAAAGCTTTAATTTTCCCCCTCCTCTCTGTACAGAAACATGTGCATTCATGCTTGTGTTGTTTATGCAGGAGAGATCAAGCCATGGCTGGCTTTCTGTTAGTACAGAGACACTTGGCCATGGAGCCTTTCTTGTGCCAGTAGGTAACCACCCCATCCACTCCAATTCCCTTCCCTAAATGCGAGGTTTTATTTCTGCCCCCTTTGTAAAGGTCCACAGAGACACCTTGTAGACTTCCCTTTTTAGACAAAATCTTATTGAAACCAAAGACAACAGGAGCATTTTTTTTTTTTTTTTTTTTTTTCTATTTGCTGCTTGTTTTTGTGTGGAAAATCCCAGTAAAAGTTAATGATGAATGTCCTCATACCATTCATGTGACCACAAAGAGTATGGAGTCAGTATGCTAAGATCAAACTTACGCAGGAGCTTCGCATTATGTTTAGTTGATGTCTTGGGAGAGCAGTACATGTTTAGGCTGATAATTTTACTGAGTTTTACTACCTACTTTTTGTTTGTGTGTATAAGGTGTCTGGTTCATAAGTACTTTCTGGTTTTTGTTTAGTTGGTGGTTTTTTGTAATGGTATGATCTAATTCGTACAAGCTAATTTTGGACTATGCTGCATAACAAATAAGCAAAAGTGTGCTAATTCCCAGCTCAGCCAGGGAGCAGGAAAAGGAACAACTCGTCAGTTTCCAAATGAAAATGCAGAAACAGAAGCAGGGAAAAATGTGCAATAATAATCTGTCAAACCCTGAGGACCTTGCTCGGCTTCTGAGATCTGGTAGATAATGGACCAGTGGGGAAGATCTTGGTTTTAATACTTTAATGTTCCAGCTCCTGTATTTAGTACAAAGGTAAGATGCTGGCATGTTCAGATTCTGTGCTCAGGTGACTGTCCTGTCACCTTCTGTGACAAACTGGGACTGTTTCTGTAGCCAACATCATTTGGGTCAGTAGGGATGGAAAAAATAGGAGCTACAGCTTTGTGTCTGCTGCTGGATATATATTTATGTTCTTGCAGCTCCTTTCAGACGGAGCGTGAGCCTGGAAGGCTAATGGGGCTTTGATCCAAGTTTGACAGATGATGTTGAATTTAATGCTAGAGATACCTGAGGTTTCTTTTGAGCACATTTCACCAGGTTCCTTTCTAACTTATCATTTCACTGCAGGGTCAGTGCTCGGTCCTCTTGTTTTTCCTGCTTCCTCTCACAGCCAGACACTGCAGCAAGCAGAATGATTTAACAGGGCACCTGAACTGTGTCTTGCTGCCTGTCTGAGAAAGCCAAAAAGCTCTCTTAGCAGAAACATCTGAATCTGAAATTTAAGACAAAACTGCTCATGTTCTCAAAGCATAAAGGACTGACACTGGGGGCATTTATGTACTTTATTACATCTTTTTCTGAAGGAACCCATGAAGCATTTCATCCTTATATCAACTTTAAAAACTCCTAATGAAATTCTTCTGACAATAAGCTGGAGTGTTCCCCTCTTGATATGCTTCATCCTTTCCCAAACCTCTATGGGTGTAAATGTGATTTGAAACAAACCTCAGTTTTCTCTGCTGTGAAGCTCTCACTTGGAGGGGAGGGACAGGGTGGCAGAGGGCTGCAGGAGGAGGCGGTGTCCATGCGGTTCGGATCCGAGGAGGATGCTTGCCTTCCCTCACAAGGGCAACTCTCCTGGAAGACTTACCAGCTTTTAACAGGAGACCACACACTGCTCCTAGCCCACCGCTGTAAGTATCACACCTAGAAACCAAGGATGCCACGGAGCCACTCTGGCGCCGTTTCAGAGCATTTTAGCCTCCAAAGATTGAGGCTCTTGTTTCTTTGCTATGCCCATTCTTGGAAGACCACTGCCATCCCTGTGCACTGAGCAGAGAGCAAAGCCCTCCGGTGGTCTGCTTGGTTTCGGGGTTAGCTGCCCCAATGGCTCCTTGTGTTACTTCCCGTGCTGTGGGATGCCCGGCCAGAGGCATGGCATTCCAGGAGCACCCCTGTGTCCACTGGGAAGTGTTTGCCAACAACTGCTTGTGTGTGCGCTGGCCTGGCAGGGTGACTGGTGCCTAACGGCTCGGCTGCCTATGGGGTTTTAGGCACAACTTAGAGGGTGGAGCTGCCTTCAGGAGGAGGTGTGCTCCAGAAGCCGGAGTGAGTGAGTCTCTGCTGGGCTTTGCACGCACTCCATCCACTTGCTGTTGTGAAGGAAATTCTTTTTTTAATTTACTTTATTTTTTTAACCTGGCTGGACAAAATTTTTATTGCACCAGTGAAATTCCCAAGTTGTTCCATACTTCGAAGAGATTTAAGAATTCCCAGCGACGCTTTTCCTGAAGGAAGCCATGCCCTCCCACAGAGCCCTTCGCCTGGTCCTGCTAACGCTGTGCGGCATCCTGGTCCCTGCTGTGCTGGCAGGTAAGGAGCTTTGTTTGCATTTCAAGCCCAAAAGTGATCTTTCGCTAACCCGCCTGCCTCTCCTCTTCTGCATACCTCCTCTCCCTCCCCTAAAAAAGGCTGTAAGTATTTACTGAGTTATAATTAATGGAAACTAGCTTTGGGATCACTGGCTGGTGTAAGAATGAGTTCTCCACCCTGAGACCAAGTTTGTGTTGGGGTAAATGAAGAACATCCTTTGTAATTTTTCCTGGGCAGAACAGCAGTAGCACCTACATGAGCATTAGTGGCAGTAGTAGATCGGGACAGATCAGTCAACAGTAGTTGGAGAGTTCTCAGCTGATGGGACTGGCTGGCTTTCAGCTTTTAATGGTAGAAAGAAGTTAGTTGTGAAAAGTTAGTCTGGCTGAAGTATGTGTGCTGGTTTCTGGTTCCTTCTATGCTTCCTGCTACAGCAGCGCGCTTCATAGTCGCTGCTCTAAGTAGAAATAGGAAAGTGTCTATGAAAATAATCATCTTGGTCGAAAGCCGAGGTGTGTATCTGAATGGAGTTTGTCTGGAGCTGGGTGTGCTGGGGCAGGTGGCAGTGCTGGGGAAGTGTATATGTGGCTCTGACTCAAGTTCAGCAAGGTGATGGGAACAGCAATAGGTGAGACACCTGTGAGGGGCTGGTTTTTGAGGAGATGGCTCGTAATTCCAGCCTCATCTGCTCCTGCCTTCAGAAACTCTGATGGGGAGCTGCTTCCCTCAGAGGCTCTTTAAGTGCAGGTGAGGCTGGAGGAACAGCTTAAGCCAAGACAATAGGCAAGAGCACAGCGCTTGTTTTCCTGAATTCCCATCTTGCCTTCCAAAACCTGGAGCAAAGCTGGATCACAGTCCCCTCCCAGTTTATGAGCATCTTGCTTAGCAGGGAGATCCTGACCAGCTATCTAGCAGATGAAATTATTTCCTTTTTAAAGGAGCTTTCACATGGATAGGGGAATTTATCACTGCACTTAGCTGGGTGCAAGAACAGAATTACTGTGGCTCGTATTTCACTCTCGGATCCAGCCCTTGTGGGACACCTTCTTGCTGAGAAACCTTTAAAATAACCAAGAAATGAGCACTAGGAAGTGATGTTTTCTCTCTCAAACCCTGAGTTTTGATTTTTGTATAGTGGAACACTAATTGCTTAAGCACAGTTTCAGTTTGTAGCTTGCTCATGCTCTCGGAACCAGTGTCAATGCTCCTCCCCAAAACCAGGTAAGGTCTTTTCTTAACTACTAACAGTACTTCACTCTGCAGAAAGTGATTCATTTCCAGTGAAAACTCAATCTGCTTCCTGCCTGAGCTAGGATTCCTTTTACACTATTTTGTTTCCAGTATTTGGTGCATATTTGCTCTGCCCCTGGCCTTGCCAGCTTTCCTGTGTACTTGCCCCCAGCTCAGTGTCGCAGCCATGGCTTGTAGCTGTCACTGCCTCCTTGTGTCACTTTGCTCCTGTGACATACTCCACATTCACTTGATCCCTTTTCTGGTGAGTCACACTTGTGCAGCGAGGCCAGTAGCTGTCGAAGAGCTTTGTATTGATGAATGCAACATTCACATTCTGGGATGCAGGAGAGTCTCCTCTATGGCGTTCTAGAGGCTTGAGGCCTCTAAGAAGTTTGTTCTCTGCTACCTCAAAGCAGGACGTGACGAAACCAGCCTGTATGGTAAGCCATCCCAGGAGCAGAGTGATTTTTCTGCTGCATTAGAAATGGAGTCACCTGCCCCAAAACAGGGGCTTTTAGTGCACAGTGGAATTCTTTCTGCTTTTCACCCCGTTAGAAAAGGAAATTTCCTGCCTTGTGCAGACAAAGAAGGGAAGGACATGCAGGCAGCCCTCTGCTCTCCCTGCGTACACATGCAGCCCTGCCTTTCTGTAAACAAGTTGATTTAACATCCGTCAGGACCGCAGCGCTCTGCCCTGCTCCACACTCGAGCTCCGGCACTAGCACATCACAGGCTGCCCTTTGTGCTCCCCATGAAGGCCTCTTTTCATCCCTGCCCTGGCCCCGTGCCCGCTGCAGCCACCTGGGGCTGGACAGCCCATTGCTGGCCTCAGAGTTCACCCAGCCCCTGCCCTCCTGTCTCAGCACCTCGTGCCTTCCATGGCAAAGCCCCTCCATGGTGGGCAGAAGTGGAATCTGCCTTTGAGAGGGCTGCAGCTGGTGCCAGCCATGCAGACCCCACGTCCAGAATGAGTCTGCCTTTCTTCATTGGGTTTAATTTTATCACAGTGGGGTCTTGGAGCTACCTGGTAAGGCCTATCTCCACTGGCAGTTGAGGGTCCCATCTGGGTGTACCAGTCAGAGCACTTTTGGGGTGCTGGTGGGTTGTGTAC